AAAATTAGACAGTTGGCAACGCTAATGTGAATTTGAATCTATTATAAAGGCACTTTGGTGGCCTCTGTTATTAACTAAAATAAGCCTGCAAAACTTTCATTGGTTCCAATTTACCTGTGTGCCAGTTAGAAGATGGTTTATGGATTGACTGCTCTGCATAGGCCTAAATGTAAAGTACTCCACTTAGGAAGGAACAATCAGTTTCACACACAGAGAATGGGAAGTGACTGTCTAGGAAGGAGTACTGCAGAAAGGGATCTAGAGGTCATAGTGGACCACAAGCTAAATATGAGTCAACAGTGTGATGCTATTGCAAAAAATAAAAAATAAAGAAAAAAGCAAACATATTTCTGGGATGTATTAATGGTAGTGTTGTGAGCAAGACACAAGAAGTCATTCTTCCGCTCTTCTCTGCGCTGATTAAGCCTCAATTGGAGTATTGTGTCCAATTCTGGGCACCACATTTCTAAATAATGTGGAGAAATTGGAGAAGGTCCAGAGAAGAGCAACAAGAATGATTAAAGGTCTAGAGAACATGACCTATGAAGGAAGACTGAAAGAATTGGGCTTGTTTAGTTTGGGAAGGAGAAGACCAAGAGGGGACATGATAGCGGTTTTCAGGTATCTAAAAGGGTATCTACCCAGCCTGTTATTTCGAAATAAGGAGCTGCTTATTTTTAAATAAGAACTCCTGCCTTCCATGCGGCATAATGCTAATTTCAAAATAGTGGCAGTGTTTTCATGCTCCAGTGCTACTATTTGAAATAACTACTCTCCAGAGTAATTCAAAATAGTTACTCACCAGTGCTTCCTGGGGATCTAAGTCGAGATAGTTCAAGGCAGGTTCCCTTAATATGGATGCACTAATTTCTATTCAAAATTATTACAATTTCAAAATTTATTATTTCAAGAGTTATTTCAAAATAATTTACCAGTGTAGACATGCCCTGGGTGAAATACTGCTTCCTTTGCTCACGTATTGTGGTACTATGTGTTAAGTGAGGTGAATGGGATTTGATCTTGTTGTGAGCCAATTTCTCTAGCCCTCCACCATGTTGACTTTGCATCAGTGGTTGGAAATCCACACAGAATTCCCTCCATGTATTGGGAATCTCTGTCACAGCTGACTCCTGCACCAGCTGCTGCCCTACCCTTGGTGTAAGGGGAAGCATGTGGGGGAATTACAGAGGGCAGTAGAGGAGCCAAACACTCTGCTCTTTGCAGATAAGGATTGAGCATCTTCCCATGTGACTTGAGCACTTACCCAGGGGAAGTAGCTGAGGATCAGGGAAGCACAACCAACTCCTTGTAGCACCACTCTCCACTGTATCCATGCACAGCTTAGACATAGTGGAGAATCAGAGTGTAAACTGGTATGTTTACAGTAGCTACTGTTACTTTGACAATTGTTGACTATCTTTAATATTATTTAATACATCTATTAACTTGAGTCTCATTAACCTTTCTTCTCTCATTAATAAGCACTGCAAACCTAGCATTACAGCCCAGTGGGAAATCTGACCATATCTGCCTTGCAATCCGGAATATTCCCTCTTCTTCCTTTCCCTTTCCCTTCTATTTCCCCCTACCTATTTTATTATAGGTATAAAAAAGTAGAAATTCTGCATTGCACTGAAGTGAATAACATAGTGCTTCATATAGCATATGGTAAGCATGTAATACTGTGAAGGTACAGCTGCAGTAGAAGTATGTGTATCTGTGTAAAAACTATAAAAGAGGCAAGGAGTCCTGTGGCACTTTATAGACTAACCAAAGTGTTGGAGCATAAGCTTTCATGGGCAAAGACCCACTTTGTCAGATGCGTGTAGTGGAATGCATCTGACGAAGTGGGTCTTTGCCCACAAAAGCTTATGCTCCAATACTTTTGTTAGTCTATAAGGTGCCACAGGACTCCTCGCCGCTTTTGCAGATTCAGACTAACAGGGCTACCCCTCTGATACTGTGTAAAACTGTTTTATTTCTTTAGATACTGGCTTAAAATGTAAAATGCAGAACTAAATAAGAGGTAGTTAGTTTCTGATCCTCTAAAAGTTACAGTGACTCACTGACATATTGTTGCAGCAATACAGAACAGCGTATTATAGACTCTGACTCAGAGTGGTGTTTTGTTCCAAAGGCTTTTGGCAATGGCTATAGTTCTAACTCTACTGTTACAAGGAACTAATTGTTATGGATGGCATGGTAGTTTAAAGAGACTGAGCTAAGAATGATGGAATGGTGTGTGGACTTCGTGAAACTTTAAAGGAGAGCTTTGCTTTAGATAAGTACCCAGTAATTTGGATGCATAAACCTTAGCCCACATTGTTTGGGTCTGCAAAACATAGTCCAAAATCTAATATGAAAGGCTCTTCTTATGGTATTTCAAAACTTTGTTGCCAGTCACACCCAGAAAGTACAGAAGTGTCTAGAAATTAAAAATAATTTCTAAAAAATAACCTAGATTTGTTATATCTCCAAACTGTTTTGTACAGATTCAGTTTCATTTGGAGAAAAACATATTTTTTCTCATTCGCACACGCACATCTGAATACTGGACCCGATTTTTTTCCATTACTATTGTGATTTACACCTGTGTAAAGTGAATGCATGATTCTGTTCTGATTTTGCTAAAGATTTACTATTGTTTTCACCAGCAAAAACGACTACACACATTGCAGGACAATAGAGAATGAGGCCTCTAGTTTTGGGAATGCTCGCTAATGTGTACTGTATATAGTCCTGCACCCAGGGTTGTACAAAAAGTCAATTCAGAGCTGTGAATAGATTTCTGATCGCCTGGTTCTGTCCTGTGCTTTAATCACCAGACCCTATTTTTTTTCTATTTTTTATATTTATTTTTCACCATTTCAGAATTTGAAATGCTCCATTTAACGTGAGGATCTTGAAAAAGAATAGTCAAATGAAATTATCTCCAGTGCTATGTAGTGTTCGGTGTGTGTTTTTTTTTTTTTTTTTTTTAAAAACCTAGTCTGAAAACATGCACCAAACTAGGTAGGTTTTCGATCGACATCTTTCAGGTCAGCTGATAGTTTTCAGTTTTCCTTAAGGTGGATTTACATTGGATTACTATGTAAACTTTTTTGCTACTGGCATTTTTTTTTTCTGGGGATATTTCAGCTGTTGTTCCTTTCTACAGGTTGAGTGCACAAAAGTAAGATATTAATGAACGGATGGACTCTGTTGATAAGATGTACCAACCCACCATGACAGCTGATGTGTCAGAAGCTGGGGAAATGGCTCTGGAACCTCTAATCACTTGCAAACTATGTCTCTGTGAACATTCTCTTGAGAAGATGACCACTCTTCAAGAATGCAGCTGCATCTTCTGTACATCGGTAAGTAGAAGTAGCACCTTAGTCAAGAACTAGAGTAATAGACTGTGGAGGTAGAAAGGACCTATTATATTGTTACGACAGAAGTCAGGCAATGATGCCATTTAATCCCATCGATGCCAATACAAGATCATTTACTTGCTACTGCTTTGTCCAGTCTTGTTTAAAAGAACATTGACATTAACAAGGCTTTCATCAGCTTGGAATTCATAGGGTGTGTCTAGACTACATCCTTCTGTCGCCAAAGGGATATAAATTAGACATACTAACATTGCAAATGAAGCAGGGATTTTAATCTCCTGCGTGTCACTTGAATAAAAATGGCCGCAGTGTTTTGCTGAGACAGCAGTTTGTCAGCAAAAAGCGGCTGTCAAGATGGGGATCGGGCGACAAAAAGCTTTTGATCACTTATGCCTCGTAAAACGAAGCTTACAGGCTTGGCCGACAAATGCTTTCTTTGTCACCCAATCCCCGTCTTGACAGCTGCTTTTTGCTGACAAACTGCTGTCTCAGCAAAACACTGCGGCCATTTTTATTCAAGTGACACGCAGGAGATTAAAATCCCTGCTTCATTTGAAATGTTGGTATGCCTAATTTACATCCTTCTGGTGTCAGAGGGATGTAGTCTAGATATACCCTAACAAAGAATACCTCTGTAGCTAATAGAATGTATATTGGTTGAATCACAAATTACAATAGAACACCTCTTTTTAAGGTTCACTGAGCAAGTAAACCATTCTTATTTAATGAGCATCTTTTCTTTTCCTTAAAAATGTTACCACCACTATAGGGTTCTGTAAAATCTTTATAACATACTTATACTTGTTCTCCATAAATATTCTATGGATATTCTAAAGAAAATAGGCCTCAAACTCTTCATGTGCCATCACACTGTGGGTGGAGGTCTCAGGTAGCATTGTTTCGGTAAATGTTTTTTTAAAATCTGATTAGTCAGGAAGACTGAGGTATAAGGAAAGAGATTAAGTGACTTGTTAAAGGTCAGATAGTGGCCCACCCAAAAATTAGACTTCAGTATTCTACTGGCTTCTTTGTAACTAGGCTAAACAAGACCTTTTATACAAGTATAAACTATAGAGCATGTTTAGAGACCATCAGGTGATTTTTTTTTAATAATTGTCTTTATTGACTTAACAACAAATGTACAAATCTGTTTAGAAGAACAACTAATTATGGGTAAGTATCAAATACTTTACTAAAATACAGATTTCTACTACTACATATCATTTAACCTCATGAACTAGATTCAGATCTCTGTTTTGTTGTGTTAATGAAGAATATCTCTAATTTCAACTAAGCTAGCCTACATTTCTGTTAGGGTAAATAACATCTGTAAGTAGTTGAATGTGGTGTTGTTTTTTTTTTATAATGAACAATATTCAATAGACTGAAATAGAATTTGTGAATGTGGTTTTTCATTTTGAACTTTATTATGATTTATTTCCTACTGATTAAACAGAGCATTCAAGCTATCTGACCTATATCTTTTGATTTCAGTTTTTTTTTCTCTGGAACGTAGTATAACGCATACACCTATTGGGTGTGGTGTACTGTTCCATTTAGTGGAACTAAGAACAAGTCTCTGAGGCTATGTCTAGACTGCAGCCTTTTTCTGCAAAAGCTTATGCAAATGAAGTGTGGAGTAGAAGATCATGGAGCTTCATTTGCATAATTAACTAGCAGCTGTCTTTGTGCAAAAGGCTTTTGCGCAAAAAGAATCTGGGTAGATGGCTCCTTTTTGTGAAAAACCCCCCTCTTGCGCAAGAGCCGTTCTTCCTGAAAAATGAGGAAGAACAGCTCTTGTGCAAGAGGGTGTTTTTGTTTTTTGTTTTTTTTTTGTTTTTTTTGTTTTTTTTTGCACAAAAAGGAGCTATCTACACAGCTCCTTTTTGCACAAAAGCCTCTTGTGCAAAAATGGCTGCTACTTATTTGTGCAAATGAAGCATGGTGATAGTCTACTCCATGCTTCATTTGCATAAGCATTTGAGGAAAAAGGCTTCAGTCTAGACGTAGCCTCAGTCTTAGCCAAGTGCCAGCTAGCTTTTAGCTCATGTGGCAGAGGCTCATGTTCTAAGCTCCAGAGGTCCCAAGTTTTGGTTCTGCCTGTCAGCGTTACAGTAGCATAAAAACATGGCTTTGAATATTGCAAATTTAATATTGTTTAGTTTCTCTGAATTTCTGTAGAACATACAGGAAAGCTCTACTCACTCTGGGGGTATGTCTACACTACCCCGCTAGTTCGAACTAGGGTGGTTAATGTAGGCAACCGGAGTTGCAAATGAAGCCCGGGATTTGAATTTCCCGGGCTTCATTTGCATATTGCCGGGCACCGCCATTTTTAAATGTCCGCTAGTTCGGACTCCGTGCCCGCGGCTACACGCGGCACGAGCTAGGTTGTTCGGATTAGGCTTCCTATTCCGAACTACCGAATCAGAACTACCTAGTTCGTGCTGCGTGTAGCCGCGGGCATGGAGTCCAAACTAGCCGACATTTAAAAATGGTGGCACCCGGCAATATGCAAATGAAGCCCAGGAAATTCAAATTCTGGGCTTCATTTGCAATTCCGGTTGCCTACATTAACCACCCTAGTTCGAACTAGGGTGGTAGTGTAGACATACCCTAAGTGACTAGTTGAATATCCGATAAGCAATTGGAGAGTTGACTAGTCCCTCAACTAGTTGCTTCCCCCGCTTGCTTCCTCTATCAGAGGCAGCAAGGGGTGGGCAGTAGAAGCTGGTGCTTTAAAGCCGGCTCCCCCCAGCACAGTCTGCATGGGGGGCAAAGGTGGCAGGGGAGCCTGGGGGATAGTGGGGACTGGGTGCGAGCCGGGAATCAGTTGATTCCCAGCTTGCTCCCAGTCCCATGTGCTGCGCCTTTGCTTTTTAAAGAGGCCTGCTGACTTGTAATACATTTAAAAAAGAAGTGCAGCAGGGGGGACCCAGCTCGAGCCATACCAGATGATTTCTGGCTTGTGCTGGGTTCGCCCGCTGTGCTCCAGGTGTGTGTGTGTGTGTGTGTGTGTGTGTGTGTGTGTGTGTGTGTGTGTGTGTGTGTGGCCCTGGAGGAGGCGCTGCAGCTGTTTTCCTTCATTCCTGCAGTGAAATATAATTCTATGCCTCCTGGCTGCAGGGCTGCTACATCCTCTTTAATCTGCTCTGAGCCGGGTACCTGCACGTAAAGACTTAAGCCTGGGGCAAGATCTAAGCCTTGGTATCTGGAATCAAGACAAACAGTCCTTGGGGGCGTTAGTGCTTTAAGCAAGTCTAGTTTGATTCCCCACCCCCCATAACAAGGTTATACATGGAGAGCCCAAAACGAACGTTAAGCCGGATGTAGCAGGTAGGCTCAACATGGAGAGAGTGTGTCTTTTGATCAGGTGTCACTATGGTTTTCTGTTGCTTTCACATACTTGCTAAATTCAGTTGATAGTTGCCTTTGCTCTGTAGTTCCTAATTCTCCAAAGGACAAATTGTTTTCCTCTACATCATTACTAACTTTGAGGGCTAATCGAAATTCAAGCATCCAGGTTTGTTTTTCTCCATAATCTGTAAAATTAAAATAAATGAAATGGGTTAGTATTGTGCATCTAGTGCTCTTCCAGTGTAGCAGTTGATATAATAAATGTTATCCCTTATAAACCTTCCATTCAATGTATATTTTACTTGAGTGGACCCTTGCTATCGAGATTTCTGCTAAAATATTTTTTTAGATTTTTAAAGGGGGGGAAAAAAAAGTAAAAACCACATGGTCTGAAGGATTTGTACATGGACATTTCACTTTAGACCTGGGCTTGAGTTCAAATAAGATGGCATCAGGCAGATATTCCTACAGTGTTTACTGATGTTGAAGTAAGCATACAGTAAAAACTCATGAACTCATGCCCAAAGTGATTAGTCTCTGCTGCTTCTTAGGATCTGTGAGAAATTATCTAGTGGCTTGGCTGAGTTTGGACTGTTAGTTTAAAATGAGAAGGTGGTAAGTCTCAGAACAAACTGTGATGATGAGAATAACGTTTATTATGGTAGTGCATAAGGGCCAACTCATTGTTCCAGGCACTGTATAATCTTAGAACAGGAGACAGTCCCTGCCCTAAAGAGATCAAAATCTAAATAGACGAGACAGACGCAGGGTGAGGGAAGGGGTAGAACACATCAGAGTGAACTATGTGATGGCAGCAAACATTAAGTTAATTTCACAGTGGTGGATAAGATTAGTTAAGAAGGGTCTGATAAGTGGCAAGAAAAATGAAGGGATGGGGACACTGAAAGGCGGGGAAGAAATGGGGAATGGAGAAGAGGACCAGGGGGCAGGTGTGGATTGTGCTGAGGTGACAAGACAGGGAAGGAGAGGGATGATTGGAGCAACCACCCAATCAGCATAGGGCAAAGCAAGTCCAATCAAAACTGTAAAGTTGAATGTCTTTGGCTGATTCTGCACTTCTGGGTGTTCTGTCTGGCTTAGAGTGAGCAGACAGGAAGTGTGAGAAATCAGAATGGACAACCACCCAATCAGCATAGGGCAAAGCAAGTCCAATCAAAACTGTAAAGTTGAATGTCTTTGGCTGATTCTGCACTTCTGGGTGTTCTGTCTGGCTTAGAGTGAGCAGACAGGAAGTGTGAGAAATCAGGATGGAGGTGTTGGGGGGGGGGGGGTGG